AGCTACCTGAGCCGTTGGAATGGCAGTAACTTGGCTCGCTAGCGATTCGGCATCTGGGAGTTGCAGTGACGTTAACTGAGCAAGCTGAGAGGCAAAAGAAGCGCGCGATAGCGTGTATATGGAACCGGGACGGTTATGGCCAGGTGTGAAATATGAGTGGAGGCTGGGAACGTAGTCGGTCGGGGGCGTAGCCGGCGTAGAAGTTGCGATTGGTGGTGTATCCTTCGGGGGTGGCGGAGGAGGCAGGCCTGCGCTATCAGGAGACGGAGGGCGTGTGGTGCGCTCGATGTGTTCGCGGCGAGTGTCCAGGGTGACCTTTGTCCCATTGCCATTGGTGTGGTCAGGGAGCCGATACTTTTGAGTGTCCATGTCCAGGGGTTCGGGGGTTTGAATCTCGGGCAACAAGGCCACGGCAGAATCGGGAATCTCGACCTTGAACAGCGGTAGCTCAGGATTTGGGTCGTGGGCGACGGGCTTTGGTGAGGAAGAAGCGCCGGCGCCCTTCCACGGACGACCGCGCCGGGCGATGACCGATTTGACCGAACCCGCTTGGTGCTTCTCGTCGAGCTGTCGAAGCTGGTCTTCGTTCAGGCGGCCGATTCGGTCGTTTTGAGGCGTTATCGGGGGCGTGGAGAATTTTTGGGCGCCAAATCCCAAGGCTTTTAGTCGGGCAGCTAATCCTGGTGAGGTCTTGCGAAGAGCAGATGATGGTAGGGGTGACGTTGGAGTAGGAAACGGGAGAAGAGCGTTTGTTGACGTTGACGTTGTTTTTGTTATCGTGGCAGGGGTTATCGCGGCTGAGGCAACAGCAGTCGTGCTACTCGTGGGCGTATCGGTGACAGACGAGGCAGAAGAAGTCGGAGTTGTGTCAATAATGGAAGATGAGAAAGTGAGCAAGCTGGAATTAGGATCTGGGGTGTTGGTGGAGGAGGGATTGGCTGAACCAGGGTTGAATGGCAGGTGAGATAGTTGACCAGGGACATCAGCGAAATTCAGCAGGCTGTCCGTGGGCACATCATGGTCCTGGTCACTGTAGCAGTTGCCGCTGGCAAGCTCGCCCAGGTCGGTAGGTCGGTTAGTTTCAGGGCTTGCAGTAGGCGCCGATAAAAAGGGATCAGCCTTTGACATCCAGTCGCTGTCGTTGTTATCTTTGACGGCTGAGGTCGTCGCGTTCAAATCGATGGTGTTCATCTAATCGATGGAGTTGGCCCCTCGGAAAGCGAGGGACAGGTGGAAACCTGGTTAGAAATTGGGTGTACCAGTCCAAGTTATGAAGTGCAGATCCAGGTTCCAGAAGCCAGGATTTGTTGAATGGGGTTTGCACTCGAGATTCAGAAGCGAAATGTTCTTCGTAACCCGTCAATGCGCAGATGAAAAAAACAAAAACAAAAAACAAGACAGGGCAGATTGGATGATTGTTGGTGAGGCGTGAAATGTCCAACTTTTTCTGCGTAACTGTCACAGAGTGTCCTTATGCACTGAGAATCTCTCCCTCTATGTCCCTGAGACAAATATCTTGCCTTTCAGTGCCACTAATCACTCTGGCCCAACCGTGCGCTATCAAAATGTCATGGTGTGGTGCAGCCTTGATCGCTGAGGCCAATGCGAACCCCAATAACCGTGTCGGGGCAGAAAGTTGAAGTGAGAGTGGTCGAATGAATACGACGCTCTCACATGCACATGCACATCTAGGATGTGATGGATGGGCTGAGGGTTGCTGTCAATGATAGCTTGGGTGGAGCTAGCGGCCAAGTTTTGAGGGTCCTATGTCGCGGAGATTACCAGACTGCCAGCCACTGATTGGAGGAAGGTAAGGCAGCGCGCAAGAAGCGTACCTCAGTACTAAGGTGGGAGACTGCTGCAGGAGTGTAGGAGTAGCTGCAACAACAGAAGCAACTTCTGGTGAATCAGAAATGACCAGTCAAAGGTTTTTACGCTGCCGTTTAAGTCGATTAGGAGCTGTCGTCTCGGCCTCAAGCTATAACTTCGCCTAGCTCAAATAGGTAGACAAATGATGAGCAGATCGGCAGGACAGGTGCGTTGGTGGAGAGTACAACAAGAACAGTCGGATCGGATCAAATGTTGTCGCAGAGGAGAGTTCAGATGGGACCGAAGTATTCGAACTCCCATCAAACGCGAGCAACACGGCTATCGTCCAATGAGGACAGAGAGACAAAGAGAGTCAGGCGGAGACAAAAGGGGGCCAACGTTTCGGACAGAGTATTTGAGAAGAGAATAACACGATGTGTCCAAGATGAAATGACTGTCCTAGGTGGAGAAAGGCTGAGCTGTAGTTGGCAGGACAAGAGAGAAGCCAACAAAGAAGAGTTCGTAGTCAAACGCTTGTAGTCAAAGGGTAAAGAAAATCTTGCCGGCAACTTAAGGCCTTGAAGATTGGTTGTGACTTATTAGATGGGGATACCTAAATGGAAGGGCCAGAGGCATGGAATAGGTACCTGGCTAGGTTTCGGCAGGTACAAGGTTGGTAGCCAAGGCCGGCGAAAATACCTAACATGGGAGTTCAGTTTGTATTAAAAAACTACCTGGGGGAAAAAGAATACATAAAGTGAAGAATAACAAAAGTTAATCTCAATCCGGCAATCAGAACGATAGCCAAAGAGAAAGGCCAAATGAGGTAAGATGGAAGCCACTGAAAGTCAAAGACCTGAGCATAAAGAAGGTTTATGAGCTGTCGTTAAAGCAACGGATACAAGCTTCGATGAACACGGAGTCTGCAAACCTATAGATAAGAAACCCGCAGGAAGAAGTATGTACAATTGAGGGGTTTGAATTCCATACCCACCTGTTCGTAGGTAGTCTCGTCTCTCTGTACGGAGTACAATACTTGAACATAGGAAAAGACGATTGACGCACACTGACCTGGGATAACTGCCGGGATTGGATCATAGGCTGCCTCTGATTTGCTTGCGAATTGTCTGAAGAGCTAGATCCCTGGTCAATGATCTCGCCTAGCAGCAGCCGGTCAGAATTAGCGTATATCGACCTGTCCATGGGATAGGCTGCTGTCGATCCAAAGGTTGCTTAAAGTGAGGAAGCTTGTAAAGTGGACAATTAGTTGATTGGGAACAGAATATCACATATTTTCAGTCTCGAATTAACAGACATTGAGCCGTACGGAGCCACGAAGAGAAGCTATTAAGGGGAAGATGCTGTAATAGAGCATGTGCAATATTATGCCAAATGCTGGGAGATACCTAATTGGCAGCAGTTAGTCAAAAACCTCAGTCTTGCCAGTATCGTTCATTCACAAACCTTGAGACGAAAAGGATTTAGAAAAAAAAAAAGGAAAATAAACACTGCCAATACCTACTCCGTACATACATCAGAGGCATCAACATTGATCTATTCATTCACCAATTACGGCTAGATTTGGGGAAGCTTGAGCTGTAAGTGCATGAACCCAATAACGGAAGAATTAACCATCAGGCCCGTCCCGAGCCCCAGGTTCGACTTTCACGGGGTCCAATGACCTTTGTTGAGCACGGAGCTTTCTTGTAAACGGCTCCTTGTCGTCATCGGGATGGAGTTCCAATGAAAGTCTGAAACTCGTAACTGCTGATGCCCATAGCAACGGGCCCAGTGCAGGCAAGCAAGAATTCCAATCAACCTGGACGAGATTAGCATGTCCGATAAAGCCTGTGCTAGAGGCCCAGCCCTCTGAATCTGCAAACCCACGATCCGTTTCTGTACAATTGCAGGTTGCCCGGGGATATGATACTGGCGTGCTGTCGGTTATCGACAATTGTGATATTAATAAAAAAGAGCTTCGCTGCTGTCCTAATCATGCCGATGCTATTGCTCCATATTCGATCCCCCCCTTTGGCCCCATCTATTTCTTCATCCCTGACATCTGACCGTGCAATTTGTCGTATTGATAAACGCTCCTGTACCAAATTGTTCCAGGCTCAAGGAACGGGTGGTCGGTTGTGTCCAGTCGACGGCCTCTTATTTGAGCTCTCTTACTTGAAGGGCTTACTGGATGGTCTTGCCATTTGTACCAGCTTTCTTTCCCTCTCTTTGGCGCTTGTGGTGCCGATCTCAATCCTCTTCTGTCCCAAGCCATACAGGTAATAAATATATGGTAGCCCTTTGTCGACTCTAGGTACATCTCAGACCGCCATCACGACGGGATAAACGAATAGAAAACGTACCTGTCGACTCTCCCTCTACCTCCTTCCGGCTCCTGCTACTGTTCCTGCTCTACCGATTAACCCTGACGACACGCGGCTTCTGGAAAACACGAAATCTTTCTTCAATCCTTGCTCTGTTTACGACCAGCAGCTTAACTACTGGGTAGGTAGTTAGTTTCTCCATCGTCTGTTAATCACCCCTGTCACGCGTTGGCCCTTCGCTGCCCAGTCGGTATCCGTAAGAATTGGAGAACTGGATGTGTAATTTTACCCTGGCTTTGCCCGTGCCCATGCCTGTCCCGCCAACCACTGACTGTTTCCAGGCATCAGGTCGCCCCATCGCCGTTGGAAACCCCCTGGATATCATTCATCCATTGAATTTCCCCTTCCCGTCTTGTCGCCGTCAACTTTTTAATTAATCTAATTCCTCCCCCCTCCTTACCTGGTCTCATCTTGTCTTGCTGTCCTGTCTTCTGTCTTTGCTACCCCTCGATTGCTGCGTATATTCGATCCTCGCCTTTTCTGTTATTCGCTCTCTCGATCACTGTCCCTCAGCCGCAGCGCAACCCAGTCGCAGTTCCCGGGCTGATCCATTATCAAGTCCCAATTTCTAGGCCAAGCTATCCCCGAGATATCGTGTGGGACCTCATCTCTCGTGTTTGTGAATCTGTGTAAGTGCAGATCATTCTTCACAGACACAACGTCACCGTCAAAGGTCACAGGGTTGATCTCGCGAGGGTCGATCGACTATTGTACTACTACGCATCGATAAATCAAATTCAAGCAAGCTCTATCACACTCTGCACTTTCTTTTGTTTAGCACGGTACCCGCATAGCATCTATAGCATGATGGCTGCCACCAACGATCAGACACCGTCATTTCGCTGCGACTCCCCGCCTCCGGACGCTCTTCCAACACCAGCTATCGGTGCATGTCCAGAGCTCTCCCGCTGCTTGTCGACGACATCCTCTTGGTCGCATGGCAGTAACGATGCCAATCCTCGGGATGCTCTGGGCATAGAGAAGTTCAATCGTCATTCCACCGGAAGCCTCGACACTAGCATGCTGAAGAATCGCCATCCAGATATTTCGGCCATTTCTCGTCACTCCAGTTATAACTTTGACGGCAGGAGTCGCCGACGGGGATATATGCGGCCACAAGGAACTGATTTTGCCGCCAGCGCCCGATCCCGCGAGAGCGTGATGAGCCTGGGCAGCATTGCGCATCTGCAGTACTATTTTGCTCGAACAGGCTTACTTGATGGCAAGGGTGGTCAACTGGCCAGGAAGAAGCAGCAGCGCGCCACCCTGGATCTCTCTTCCTTGGACACGAATGCCGAAGCTTTGCCCAAGATCGTTGGCTCGGATTTTGACTCGTCATACGCTTCTACCGACAGCAGCCCAGATTTCAGCTCACAGGGCTTCGGTACCGACCTTGTTGAGTCTCCCATCGAGGGGCTGGATGATTATTATGAGGACAACTTCAGTGACCTTGGCGGTGATATGCTCCCACCGACTGTGAGCACGTATCACCACCGTGAAAAGGTGGTCCCCAAGCCACCCACCATTCTGGAGCTCAAGTCAGAACTCGAGCAGACGCTTGGCGACGCTAAGAAGGCACTGAATGAAGTTGAGGCGCGAAGAACCGGTACTTACGAGGAACCGTCCAGTGCCCCTGACTACCCCAACATGCCAGCGGAAAACACACAAGGGTGGTTTGAGCTGCAAGGAATGCATATTCTCGATGTTGTTACGTTGGCAATCCGCGCGGCAAAAATTTATTACACAGCGCACGAACTGCCTGACCGTCTTGACTCTATTAAGCCCGAGAAGCAAGTCAGGGCAGATCTGTTGGCTGTCATGGAGACATTAAGGCAGATGGCCACCCGAAATTTCAAAGAAGGTATGAGGGAAGAGGAGATCAAAACGATGAATGGCTGGGTCGAGAGTGTCTTTGATATCTTGAAAAAGGAACAGGAGATCGAAGACGCGGAGAGGGCTGAACGGGTCGGCTGGACATGGCTCAAGGGCGACTGGGCTGGTCGCGAACTGGAGCGGGAACGGGCGTTTCTCATGTCCATGGACACGGTTTCTGAACCTTTGCCAGAATGGAAGTCAATGTCGCCTTCAGATGCGAAGCCTACCCCTTTCCTCGAAGCCATGCAGAATGGTGTGCGACTGGTTAAACTTCACAATGCCGTTGTGCACAAATCGCGACGACGATTTGGTGCCATTGGAAGCTTTCATACTGATACCCAGAAGCCCTATCGTTGCGCTGACAACTTACGGTACTGGGTCAAAGCTGCCGAACTGCGCTTCGAGGTCATGTTGAAAGTCGATGTGCTCGGAGTCCAGTACAACACATCTCCACAGGCTTGGATTGATTTTGAGACCGCCATTCTCAAGTGGTCTCGCCATGTGCGCGAGGAGATCACTCGCGAGCTTGAGTTATAGCAAGCGAATCTTGGACGCTCTTTTTTTTGTTTCTGAAGTGACGAGGGACATGCCCAGCTCGATTCACTAATACCCTAATGATTGGACGTTGAGGGCTACATAGGAGTTCACTTTGCTGGTTTTCACTTTTGTTTTCTTTGTTATTCCTACACTTTTTTACCCTGGAAAGATCATCTGAAATTGCATATTGTGCAAAGAGCATACCGAGCTCTTTTGTTCGACCGACATGACGAAAGCACTTTGGAGCACGTTATTTTTATATTCACCTTCTTAAACACGACCGGCTTGGAGAGCCCGGCAAAGCCCTTTTCTTCTGAGACAGAACTCCCACTACATTCTAGCATATACCCATTGCATAGGCCTTAACGCGGATGAAGACATGTTCAGCTTCAAGCTGTTAGACTGAATAAATAAATAAAGAAAATATATTATACTTGTCATCTTGATTCTCCGCTCTGTCATGTGAATTTGGATCACAAAGGGTTTACATGGGACTAGTCACGTCTGCGAATGAAGATTTTGATAAATGAATATAAGTTTGTATATTTTATTCCTCCTCATCCTCCTCCTTTTTTTTGTGGTTTAATCTTTTTCTTTTTCCGCCTATGCTAAATATATCTATATATCGTAATTAGGTACTCAAGGTATTCGCGCCAAGGGGGCCCAAACTAAAAAAACCAGAAGCTGCACGACGTTATCGTGAAAATGACCAAAAGCCATAGCAGCTGTCAAACTCCATTACAAGTGTGGATATCATAACATATCATTTCCAACCTTTCCCAATCCTTACTCAATATCGATCTTGTGGATCTCAGTCCACTCTTTCTCAGCCTTGGGCACAGTAATGGCTAAGACACCATCCTCCATCTTGGCGGTGATACCCTGACCATCAACCTCGTCGCGCTCATCTGCTCCCGTGGGCGGCAGAGCTACGTTGCGTTCAAACATGCCGACCTTGCGCTCGCCAGAGGTGAGAGTGCTGAGGAAGGCTTCATCGCCAGGGCGGTGAACGACGCCTGCGATCTTGAGAAGGTTGCGGTCGCCATCCCAGTTCAGACCAATATCCTCTTTCTTTGCACCGGGGAGGGCAACGTGAATGACATATGACTTCTCGGTGTTGAAGATGTCGATAGGTGGGTTAAAGGAGGAGTCGGACGAGTCATTGGTGTTTTGCTCCTGGTTCTGGTTCTGGTTCTCCTGGAACTGCTCGCGCATGTTGCGAACGAAAGGATGGTTGCCCCATCCGCGGAAGAGACCAGCAAGGTCAAAGGGGCCACCGTAGGGGGGAGGGGGAGGATGGGGGCCGTGATGAGGACCATGGTGAGGACCGTGGGGGAAGCCACCGCGGCCTCGACCTCGACCGCATCGAGGGCCTCCACGGCCATGGCCACGGCCACGACCTCGCCCAGCCCATTCAGGCCGAGCTCCGCACTGACTCTCCTCAGGAGCAACTTCTTCGGGGTCAGGGACGTTCATGGTCTCGTCAGACTCGTGGCTTTCACCTCTGGCAGCTTGCTGAGCCTCGTTTGCCTGCTGGCGTTGCTCGTTATGGGTTCGACTGTCTGGAGCACCTTCACCAGCGAACCAAGGACCCCAGACGAAGCCGTCAGCCTCGGGGGGTGGAGGAGGTCCTCGTGGGCCATGTCCATGCCCATGGGGATGAGGAGGGTGAGGAGGGTGAGGGCCAGCTGGCGAACCGAAGGGGAAACCGGCCATGAAAGAGGGAAACGGAGTCTCAGTCTGGTGATCTACTCCCCGTCCAGTTGCTTGGTTGGGATCAAAGTGCTGAATGAAATCCCAGAAGTTTGCATTGTTGAATGGGTTTGATTGTCGACTCATTTTGTGTAATGGATACTTATCAAGTATGGGTTGGTTTATAGTAGTGATGATAGTGAGAAGGGGTCAAGAGTGTTTATAAATGTAGATGATGTAGAGGAAGCTGGTGGTGAATATCGTACCATCCAGTGTCGACATAGCATACGATTTATATATAAAAAAAAATTCTCCATTGAGACGGGCTGCCAGATGGGGCATCTCATCCGCTAGGAGGCGAGATCTAGACACATGCGTAAACCGCATCGTAACCTTGACTAGGCACAATAGACACACGTACCAGACTCACATGAAGTGGTCGAACCATTTGGATCAGCAGAGAAGGCAAATGCGTTTGGTTCGGGACATGCTTGTTGCCGCGCGGCCACTCACTCGCGCACTCACATCTCGTTGAAATCGCCCTCAGAGAGTAACTAAGGTCTGGCTTGGGCTGGGGGTTGCGTGAGGGAGCATGATCGGTCCCGAGACCAATAAAACACCGGGGGCGAATAAATTGGGCCACACTCCGAGTCCGTTAACTCGGCGCCGGTTTGTGTGTTTGTGTTTTTCGCACTATTGTAATGTGCGGATGGCGACTTTACAGACAAATACTATTATCCGAGCTTATTCGAAGGTAAAAGCAACTCAAAGAATTATTCAATGACGATTCGTGGGCTACCTAATTTCCGTCGACTGCTGAGTCATTCGGCAATAGGTAGGTACACGTCAGATCAATCAGTCTGCCAGCAGCCGCGTGGCCTCTAATTAATTGTCTACTGGGCTCTGAGATCAAGTTTAACATTAACAAGATTTTGCTTGAGTACTCTGTCAGGCGCGCTGTGTGAGAGATAGTCTTCCTTGAAAGGATGGGTGATCCTGAGATTCAGTCTCAACACACTCTACTCAGAGAGTGTTGTCTGGAAACCTTTTTTTTTTTTTCTTTCTTTCTTTCTTTCATTTTTCTGATAATTTTTATTTATTTATAAACCTAGAAGATATCCAAATTTGTAGGTATCTTCCAAATGCTCTTGTTTTGTTCTGCTTTCATTCCGAGATCTCGACAGATTCGCACTTTTGGCCACACCTCCTCGAGTTTGCCCACTTACACGGCTGGTCTACGTCACCTGCACCATCAACCATTTCGCACGCGTGGAAACACACGACTACCAGTGTTGATTCGACATTTCAATATGCTTGTCTGACTCACTGAAACCAAACAATAACAAATAGTCTATTGATTGACGTCGCCCAAGGCCTTCACCCAGCCAGCAGCCACTTTAGACCCTCGACGGCATCCCGCTCACGCTTCTGCGATATCTCAAGTTCTGGAAATATAGCCCAGAACGCATGAGGAAGACCCGGATAGATGTCAATCTTTGTGGGCACTCCCTCGTCCTTGTAGATTTGTTCAAGCACAATGCTGCAGTCTCTGACAGGGTCCATCCCACAGGCCTGAAAGTAAGTCTTGGGAAGGCCTGCATGACTGGGGAATGCAACCGGAAAAGCAAGAGGGCTCTTTGGGTCAGGTCTATACTTCGCTGTGAAACCTGTCAGTATAACCTAGGTAGGCGTGGGAGAGTTGCAGGCATACAGTGAATGAATTTCATCGACTCTGCGCTAAACACGGGGACCTTGGCATTTTGCTCATAGCTGATGAAGTACTCCTTGTACTTTTCAGGGACCGTCTGATCATTCACACCGGAGGTGATTGGAGCATAAACACCCGTCAGAGGGTGCAAGGTCTCGGCGTCTCTATACAGGTGGGAGATGGTCAGAGAGATATCGGCGCCTGAGCTGGTACCGCCAATGATGAAGCCTTTGGACGGGTTGATTCCAAGCTTGTCCACATTTTGAGACACCTGTCTAGTTTCAGCATTCCCGCCTTAATCTCCTGAATCAAGGTTCACTCACCCAGATAGTAGCATCAAAGGCGTCATTGATTGCTTGGGGGAACACATGTTCGGGAGCATGGCGGTAATCGATGTTCACAGAAATGCCTCCCAGCTTTGTGAACTCGACACATAGTCCTGCTTCAGTGTCAAGATCACCTGTGACAAAGCCTCCACCATGAAAGACAACAAGCCCAGGACGTCCGTCAGATGGCACATCACCATTGGGTATGTATGATCTGGCGTCAACTTCAAAGCCATCTCTGAGAGGAATCTTGAAGTCTTTGGTGTGGTATGAAAGTGTGGCCGGGTCAGGTTTAGGTCGATACTGTTTCAACTGAGCCATCATTTCGCGAAAAGATTCCAGCTCAGTGTTCATATCCCATCCGTTAAGCATTGGGTTATGGGCTCTGATGATCTGAAGGTTGTGAATAACTTGTGATGTCTGAGAGTATTGGACAACTTACAGGCTCAAATTCTGGATGCACATCTCCAAGGGCACGGATTTCCTCAATGTTAAGCATGGTTAATTTGTTGAATAGATAGAACGAAGACCGTCTTTTTATACCTGGCGAGTTTGCCCTGGGTCCGGGAGCCTTTGGCTTTATAGTTAGGACTCCAGCTGATGATCTGTTGAGATGAAGGCTCGGTATTTCTCAACATTCACAAGACAAAGCGATTTACAGCTCAGATTCAATGGGACTTGCGGTGACTCACGCAATTAGGGGCTCGAGCAAAGCACAGGATGGATTTACGAGCCCATAGTAAGCCAACAGAGGAAAGGGCCAGTAAAATGATTGGATACGACTGCACCTTCATCACTCAAGTTGCAGGATATGTCACCAAGCGGGTGAGAATCTGCCCTTGTCGCCGGCGTAAATCCGTGAGGCCCGGCGAGCGGGTGGACCCGCGATGTCAGTCCCCGGGAGACGCCGGCTCCAAATTACAGGGACCATTTTCCCAGATCGGTAATTTCGTAAACATCAAGACCGATGAGCGAGAACCGCGATATCGAGCTGGATAGGTTTGTTCCCAAGTCCAAATCGGGAACACTCATAACAATGGATCTCTCTACCGGATTGCATTAATTGCCTGACGGTAAAGAAATGACGTCAGAAGAGAAGCGCGAAGGCCTCGCGACTCCACGTGAGCCGTGAGAAATGATTGGTCAGCGGCCTTAGTAGACAGAGCTTAGAAATCTGACTCCCTGGCGCATTTCGCCATTGGAAACGAATGATCGGATTCAGGTCAACTTAGCCGACGATCTCTTTTCTTGACTTGTTAATTCACAACCACGAATTAAAATCAGACACGATGGACGCAGCTCAGACAACAATCTGTATGTTAAAGCCTCCAAAGCACTCAATTGCTCTTAAATTCACACTGACATGGCCCTATAGCTTCACCCGTGGGCGCCGCCGCAAATGTTGCGTCCCCTTCCACCACAGCTGCTAGCAAGCCCAAGGTGAGCTTCTCCTTGATCAAAACGGCTCTCAATTACTGTGCTAACACCTCTATAAGCCCTGCTGTGTGTGTAAGGATGAGAAGGCTAAGCGTGATGAGTGTATGCTCTTCTCCAACGCAAAAGATCCTGCCGCCGACTGCAAATCCCTAATCGACCAGTACCGATCATGCATGTCGGGATTTGGATACCAGGTGTAAAAGGTCCACAACTTCACACGATGGAATGACTTCGGCCATAGAATATGACCGTGTACAACAGATGCAATAAATGTAGAATAAAGGGCAATCCATGCATGTTCCCCTCCGGAGAATATCGTAAACATTGATGGGTCCGCAGTGGCGTGATATGTCCTCTTAATTCGTAAGTGATGCGCATTCCTGAAGATTTGTCCTTGTTCGCCGCCGGGTCAATGTGAGTAAAAAGAAGAACTCATAAATGTTCGAGAGTTTGATTGATTGTGAGTGTCCGTCACAGGCTCATGCGCAGGTTCATTTCCACTAGCCTGCCTTAACCTCAAGAATGAAATGTCCCGACAAGAAAACATGGCCGTGATTTCCAGTCATTTAGTCTTCTTCATATCGTCTTCCCTTCCCCGAAGGCCTATTTTCATCATGGACTCAACCTCCTGGGTCTTGTTGACTAGCCGAGAAACGAGTGTTTCCATCTGCTGCTCAATGCCTTTCCTGCGCTCTACTGCTTCCATAATCCTGGTCACAGAAATGGCAACCGCGCGCACTCTGCCAATCGTCAGTTGTATCCCTGAGATCAAGCTCTGTTGGACTGTATACTCTTTTGTTCGTCGATCTTGTTGAAACCTGGCGATGCTGCTGCGTAACTTGTCCATCTCTGTAGCCGACTCCTGAACAATAGCATTCATGCGCTCATCTCGCCCCTTCTTCAACTGCCATCGAAAGAGTCAGCGAAGATCCGGTTATGGATCAGAATGTCGCAAATCTTACTTGCAAAAGGCGACCATGAGCTTTTGCAGCAAAATCGGGTTTGCCGTCCTCATTGCTGGAATAATTCGACTCGTCACTTGCAGCCATGGTTGAGACGGATCGCAGTGAGTAAATGCACAAACTAATATCGTAAAGCTGAAATGCTTGGGTTAGACCGAAAGGAGTTGTTGAAATATTGTATGAACAAAACTTTCTTGGTACCTCAGGTACCTTGAGACGACATGTATCGCAAGTAAGGTAGGTAAGGTTGCAGATGGAAGGAGCGGACTTGCCTTCCACCACCGGTTTTCCAACATTAATCACTAGGTAGCGAGTACACATACAACACAGTAGAAGAACTCAATCAATCACCACGCATAAATTATAGGATTCACCATACTCTATAAAATGCAATGCTTTTGGCAGATCCAGAACCCATTTTGGTATTTTCATACAACCCAAGGCAGATGCTGCAGGGGGGGATATCTCACTCTAGCGGGTTAAAGCAATGTCGTCTATCCTCAGAATCATCTTGACTGTCTCGGCCGCCAGCTCGATCGCGCTTGTGCTAACAAGAAGAGGCTGCAACACGTTCTCCTTGGAAATATTGGTGTTGACTCCTCCGGACTTGATACTGACTCCTGCATTCTTCTCTCCCATCTCGTGTCGGTGTCGTAGCTCCGTCACTACCTTGATACTGTTGAGACCGGCGTTCTCGGCCAGTGTGGTGGGAATCACCTCGAGGGCATCCGCAAAAGCCTTCCAGCAGATTGCCTCGGTGCCTGTCAAGCTACGCGCTTGCTTGGATAGCTGTGCAGCAATTTCAATCTCAGGGGCACCACCACCAGCGATGAGAGCCTTCTTCTTCACCAAGCATCGTACCACACAAAGAGCGTCGTGCAGACTTCGCTCGGCCTCCTCAAGGATCAGAGAGTTGGCACCTCGTACAACCACGGAAACGGTCTTGCCGACAGACTTGGTGCCTGTCACCTTGACCATGCGCGATCCAGAAGACTGAACCTCCTCAACCAGGTCCGCATAGCCCAGCTTATCCTCAGTGAAAGAATCAATATCAGCGATGGGTTTACAGCCAGTTGACTTGCAGATGAATTCGACCTCGTCGCGCTCGATGTCCTTGACAGCAAGGATACCAAGCTTAGCCAGGAAGTGTAGTGATAGATCGTTGACAGCATCTCGCAAGATAGATTTCTGGATGAACAGAACGTTGCACTTCGCCTTCTTGATCTTCTTGGCCATGTTCAGGAGGTATAATCGTTCCTCCTTGACGATCTTGTCCATTTGTCGGTAGTCGTTGACCTGAATAGTATTCTCCATCTGTAATTTGTAAGTAAGAGGTACTCTTATGCAACAGAAATGGACATACATCAGGCTTGGGGGGACTCAGCTGGAATTGGATGAGACCAATTCGAGCCTTCTCCATACGGGCCGGACCACCAGCGTTCTTGAGCACAGGCTGGGTGAGGACGAGACCATCAACAAGTTCGCTATCTTCAATTGTTCCACCAACTCGCTTGACGATTCGAATGTTCTTAAGATCGACGTTATCGGCGGTCTTCAGGTCGATGGTCTTAGTCACTGAGTTCACCGCCATGGGCCCAAGCAAATTCGAATATTGGGAAACAATCTTGGACGACAGAGAGGTGTTGGCAGCTTGCAGTAACGAGGAAGTATCGCTCAGAGTGATTGGGAGGGACATGTCGTGTAGGACCTCGACGGCGGCAGCGGCAGCTCGTTGGAAGGACTCGGAGATGACGGAAGGGTGGATGCCCTTGGAGAGAAGTCGGTCGGCAGCACCAAGAAGACTTCCGCAGATAACGACAACAGATGTTGTGCCATCACCAGCTTCAACATCCTGGGCACCAGAAAGGTTGACAAGCATCTTTGCTGTGGGATGCATGACAGACATGCTCTTGAGCATGGTATTTCCATCGTTTGTGATAATGGTCTCGCCCTTTCCACCTCGAATCATCTTGTCCATTCCTCGGGGACCGAGAGAGGTTCTGATGGCGTCCGCGACAGCTGTTCGACTGTTAATATTTGTCAAGCCTGTTGTTGCACCAAAGGCGCCATACCTCTAGCGGCGACAATGTTCGAGGAGCGCACCGCCATGGGCTTCTCCTTATCCTGTCTAAAGTTAGCGGGGTGAAGCTCAAAAACCTGTCTGGAGCTCTTCATACTCGGAAAGTGGCATTGCTAGAGCCTCCCGCTGTAGGGGCTGGAGCTGCGACTGGGGCAGACATATTTTGATGATAATTTGGCGGTCCCTAGATCCTCAAAGCAAAGAAGTGATGTTGATGGCGGGGCTTTGTAGGAACACGACTGGACTTCTTGGAGATGTCCCACCTCCCCCCTAGGCTGCCCTACTCCGCCGTGGAATTGTCAACCTAGAAATTTTGGTTCGGGGATAGAGATCATCCAGCTCCGAGAGGTTCCTTGAGCTAACTCTGAGCGTCCTAGTCGGCTTTTGGCTCCAGCGGCACTATTACGTGGGTCCGTGCTCCAAGCTCGCTCAAGGCAACTCACAGATTACGGAAGGCATTCGGTGACACCTCCAACCCCAAACAATCACGACCACAGCAGCAACAATTCGACTCCCTTTGATCATAGTTTATCCACAAGTGCCCTCGTAAATACAGAAACCTCATATCAGACCCCTGAAGCACTATTATACGATTGGAGAGCCGCGGTCCTCATCATGGTCAGTCTCATTACAGGCATACAAGCTTAGTTGTGTCCTATCCCATACTGACAGCCAGCAACAGCCTTCCGCAACCGGCTCCAACTGGGAAAAGTACCAGAAGAACTTTGCCGACGATGAGGTAGAAGAGAAGAAGATTACACCTCTAACAGACGAGTACGAATACCTTCCTGGAAATGAGAGTGCCATTGGTCCGCTAACACCAGCGCCAGGGATATTCAGGTTCTCAAGACCTACGGCGCCGCGCCTTACGGTACATCTATCAAGAAGCTCGAGAAGCAGATCAAGGAGAAGCAACAAAGCGTCGATGAGAAGATCGGCGTCAAGGTTGGGCGGGAATTCTGCAAATGAGGGACAGACTTCTAACATCAATAGGAATCCGACACAGGACTCGCGCCTCCCCATCTATGGGATGTGGCCGCCGACCGTCAGCGAATGTCTGAAGAGCAACCTTTCCAGGTGGCACGTTGCACGAAAATCATAGCTGACGAGAAGGGCGACGAGGCCAAGAGCAAATATGTGATCAACGTCAAGCAAATCGCAAAATTCGTTGTCCAGCTTGGAGAGCGCGTCAGTCCTACCGACATCGAAGAAGGGATGCGCGTGGGTGTCGATAGGAACAAGTACCAAATTATGCTTCCCCTACCGCCCAAAATCGATGCGAGCGTTACGATGATGACGGTGGAGGAGAAGCCCGATGTCACCTACGGCGATGTTGGTGGTTGTAAGGAGCAGGTTGAGAAGCTACGGGAAGTTGTCGAAATGCCTCTACTGTCTCCTGAGCGCTTTGTCAACCTTGGTATTGATCCTCCCAAGGGAGCCCTGCTCTATGGTCCTCCTGGAACCGGAAAGACCCTCTGTGCCCGAGCTGTTGCCAACCGAACAGACGCCACCTTTATCCGAGTTATTGGTAGTGAGCTGGTTCAGAAATATGTCGGCGAGGGCGCAAGGATGGTTCGAGAGCTCTTCGAGATGGCCCGTACAAAGAAGGCATGCATCATTTTCTTCGACGAGATCGACGCCATTGGTGGTGCTCGATTTGACGATGGTGCTGGTGGAGACAACGAGGTTCAGCGAACTATGCTTGAGCTTATTACGCAGCTTGACGGTTTCGATGCTCGTGGAAACATCAAGGTCATGTTTGCCACCAACAGACCCTCTACATTGGATCCTGCGCTCATGCGACCCGGCCGTATCGATCGAAAGATCGAGTTCTCGCTGCCCGACCTTGAGGGCCGTGCTAACATTTTGCGCATCCACGCTAAATCCATGTCGGTTGAGCGGGACATCCGGTGGGAGCTCATCTCTCGTCTCTGCCCCAACGCAACGGGTGCTGAGCTGCGTAGTGTTTGCACTGAGGCCGGCATGTATGCCATTCGCGCAAGGAGAAAGGTTGCGTCCGAGAAGGACTTCCTCAGTGCAGTTGACAAGGTCATCAAGGGTAACCTTAAGTTCAACTCCACGGCGACGTATATGCAGTACAACTAGACATACTCACCATAAGGCAAGGTGTATTTTAATGCGGTGTATGAATACAGGGCAATTGGATGGCGGGAATATAGACGTCATAATGAACAAATTGCTTCTATAAGCATGCCCGAAAGTGAATTAATTGCATTAATGACTTGGTTTATGGTGCTCCCGATGCCATATTGATATCTGCAGAATCTATCTACTGTGAAATTACGCTGTGGTTCATTTGCAATCCGAATGCCATAAAACAAGACCATCAAGGTCCTGGAAAACCGAAACACCGTTCCCATGATATGCCCATGAACGCTAACGTACTATGAGTCCATTTCCGTACCATCCAAAGAGCAGATCCGTCGCTCAAAATACCCTGCAGAACTACCTTACCTAAGGCAGATGTGTGCGCCCAGCTTAAGCCCGAGAAAACCATCATTATTCGTCCACAAAGCCCCATAATGCCATGCATTTTCCGACTCATGAGCCTTCCATCCGGGAGAAGCAGCCCAAGCATGCGACGTCTCCTTCTGCTCCGCACTCAATACTGCACCGACTGCACACAACAGCCCGGTGTCCAACAGCTTTCCATCCCTTGTCCGTTTGCCGGGTTCCGTTCTTCGTATCGTTCTGTTCTTGTTGCTGTCTATCATCAACATCATCCATGTGGAACGACCTTGAAAGTACTTCTTGCTCCGAGACACCAGAGCCACCATCCAGATTCCAACCATGGCATTCTCTAATACAAATGAAGCAAGTGCGCTCGCCGCATCCATCGCAATTGGCAAAGGAGTCGAGATCAGATTTCTTGGTTGGTTTGCGGTGGCAGATGTTACAGGGAACAAGCAGAGAGCCTGTCACTCGAGATATGGCAAAGGCGGGCTGCACCGGCAGCATCTTAAGTTGAGATGAGCGCCGTCGGCGGTGGGGCGTGTTGAAAGAGAAATTGGAAGGGTTGAGGCCGTCGGTAACGTGAATATCGTCGCCGGTAATACGGGTTCGCTTCGAAACTGGGAGGACCTTTCGTAAGACTGAGTCCGGCCGTTGATCGAGGATATAATAGTCCTTGGTCTCCTCTGAAGGGTATAGAGACAATCTGGACTGCTCGTTGTCGACGCTCCATCGTCGCTTACGTCCTTCGTGGGCGTCTTCTCCAACGAAGGGCATTGTGGTGTGGTCCTTGCCAGGACTTATCAAGTATGTGCAGCGAGGCAAATTTGAGTATGGTAGCGAAACAAGTGTTGGTAAGATTTGACACGGAACAAAACGCTATTGAAGTATCCCAGCGGCACTGAAAGAAAGGCGAACAAGACGATAATCGAGTATGAGGGCGTGGAGGTGAGAGGAGGAGGTTGAGAACCAAATAGGATTGAAGGGGAGTGGTTAAGAGGAGCAACAGTGACTGGTCAACTTAGTAGGGTACCTAAAGAAGGCACCCGCTGTAACCTAGGTAGTGAAAAGTGGTTCCTGTTTGGTTAATGGGTGGAGGTTGAATGTTACTAGCTGATTATCGTCCAATGACAAGGGAGGAGGCCTGTATCAACCTTGGACGTTGAGTGAACAAACCACTGAAACCATTCACGCATTTAACGGTTTGATATGAATGGCAGCATGTTTTAACAGCTTTTCGTAAATGCTTGCCAAGTTGAAGCATAGAATCTAGTGAGGCTACGAATCAGGGGTGGCATAGATACGTAGATACTTATATAATATTTATATTTCAAGCCAATAACACAAACTTAGAGTCCCTCGCTGAAAGACATTTCAAGGTATCTTGATGAGCCCGAGACAAGACCTCCTAGATATCACTCGTTATCTTTTGTGTATTGATAATGACATATGAGTCGGTTGTCTTGCTGAAGTCCGTTCTACATAAAAAAGTATGAGATATAAGTCTGGGGTGGGGTTGAACAGTGCCAAGGTAAACTTAACCAAGGCTTGTGATGAGAACGCAATGAACTCGGGTTGTTCAGATCAGAACTTTGAATCATATATAACAAGCATTGAAGGCAGGGAAAGTGGCGGCCACGAGTACAGAGAGCTTTCACATTTTTACCACCCGTCACCCCTTCATATTTCCCAGTGTAGTTTGTCGAATAAGGTATTGAAAACGATTCATCTGATTTACACTCTAACATCCACCTTTCCTTCCACGACCAGGCTTCTTTTCTACCCGCCACCGCCGACAAAGGAGCTGCTCTAGGGGCGACTAGTATACAAATGAGACTTTGAGATGTTGCCCCTTTAGCGGCGGACCTTGACCTCCTTGGGGGGATCGTAGGCGATCTTTCGGGACTTCAACCAAGCCCACTTGTATCGCTTCACCCAGACACTGACAGCCCACAGAGAGGCAGAGACGACAAGGACCTTCATACCCATTCGCTTTCGGTCATCCATCTCGGGCTCGGCAGCCCAGTTGAGGAATTCGACAACATCCTTGGCCATCTGAGAGGTGGTGGCGGGGGTACCATCCTCGTACTCAACGAGACCGTCGTAAAGAACACGGGCCATGGCGATACCGGTACCGGGAAAGTAGGGGTTGAAGTTCATGCCGGGAGCGACCTGAACACCAGCAGGGGGCTCTTCAGGGTAGCCGGTGAGCAAGCTGAAGATGTAGTCACAACCACCGTGACGGGCCTTGATGATAAGAGACAGATCCGGGGGGAGAGCACCATTGTTGGCAAATCGAGCAGCCTCCTCGTTCTTGTAAGGCGGCAGCATGTAATCGGCCAGCTTTCCGGGGCGCATCTGGATCTCACCCTGCTCATCGGGCTCACCGGGGTACTCGTTCTCCTCGGCAAGAGCCTTGGCCTCGTCAACGGTCAAGACGGAGCCGACGAGAGTTCGGTAGGGGATTCGGCTGAGGGAGTGGCAGGACTGGCAGACCTCCTGATAAACCTGGAAACCACGGCGGAGACTATGAGGGGGTCAGTAATTCGACACGGCGTGTTCTACAGGATCGGCGGCAGCTTACGCCTGGTGGTCGAAGGTCTTGAACCACTTGTTGTGAACCCAAGGGTACTTGGTAGCGTGAAGTCTATACGGGCACTGTTAGCAATTGGTGATGCAATAACAGTGCGGATCATCGATAGCCAGCATTTATGCCTCATCACCCAAATTGAGATGATGCAGAAACACCACAATCAAGAACCGAAGGTATCACGTACCCCTCTTCAGCAGGAGTCATAGCAAAGGCAACAGGTCCGTAAAGGTGATAGTACCAGGCCATGGAGCCGAGGGCGAGGGTAGTCGAGGCGGCGGCAGCCAGGTTCAATCGGGTGGCAGAGGCATCGCTGGCGGCGCTGGAGCTCGAGGAAGCGGCACGCTGGGAAGAAAATGGGGTCAGCAATCGTGTACATGCAATTGAGGCGCATTCAGTTGCGATTGGCGTGGCTGCGGCGTGTCGAGGTTCGTGGTTGTGATCTCTCGGCAAACGGGAAGCTCGCTGGCAGAGGTGGTAGGATCGTGCCATACCTTGGTGACAGCAGAAGGGCCGTTCCGGAGGCCATTGAAGGTGCGCGTCGAGCGCAAACACGACCTGGCAAGCATTGTGGGCGAGCTATACCGTCGCTGGTGCGATCGAATATGAGACGGCGAGATGGGGAGGTCGTTCTCGGAGTCGGAGGACAAAAGGGCTCAAGCAGAGATCATTAGCAGCATCAGACAAAATCCTATCGAGCGTTCCAATAAGCCGGCTCTGATTGGATGCGGGTCGGATCAATGTCACGTGTTCGACCACTCGCCTTGCTCGGCTGAGCGGCCAGGTGACTTCCGATGAGTGAGTGTTCCAAATTTTTCCGACTCCCGGGTTGAAGTCGGGTTCGGTTTGGTTTGGTCCATGGATACTAACAGCATACTACCTAGGACAGTAGAACAGTAGGACAGTAGAAACAATAGTATATAATAAGGTGGTTCTTACAGGTATGACAGTTGTAACTATGAGATCTTGTGGAAGCAGGCTATGGCCATTTGTATCATGTTTCAATTCGTTGAGCCATCTTTAAATGATGATCGCATGAGATGAGTGATACCTACTACATATTCCTGTCTGTTCATTAGACTCCCTCGTCGACAAGCGGCTTCGAGATCTGCTGCCCATGGCAATGGGAAATTACATAAAAAAGTTAGGAAATGCTCTAAACCTGATCAAGAAGCCTAACTACTGCCTAATTCTGTCTGCTACCCCACCCCCACCTTGACTCGATTCATCTTCACACCAAACGCCGGCGACATTCTTTTGTTTTTATTAACCCGACTTTTCCTTTCAGACTTGGTCGTCACCATCTTTGCTGTTCGATTCTGCGCGAATTCCTCTTTTCTCAATTTTCTATAGAATGGCTTCTTCCGATAAGATTTTTTCCCTCGAGGGAAAGGGCCTCAAGCTCGACACTGCTGAGGATCTCGAGCCTCATATTGCCCCTCTTCGATCTGCAGACGTCGAAGAAGTTCGTATTTTGGGCAACACTCTGGGTGTTGGCGCCTGTAAGCTTCTTGGTGAGGTTCTTGCGACCAAGAAGAACCTGAGAGTGCGTCAAACATCACCTCTCCCTGGCTGCTATAACTTACCAATACACTTCTCCAGGTCGCAAACTTCGCCGATATCTTCACTGGCCGACTCCTGAGCGAGATCCCTGACGCTATCTCTTCGCTACTCACCTCCGTTCTCAACCTCCCCAAGCTCAACACTGTCAACTTGAATGACAATGCCTTTGGTTTGAACGTCCAAGCGCCTCTCGTGGCCTTCCTAGCCGCCCATGTGCCACTGCAGCACCTTTACCTGAACAACAACGGCATGGGCCCTCACGCTGGTATCCTCATCGCTGATGCGCTCTCCGAGCTTCACGCCAAGAAGGAGGCTGCCCGAAAGGAAGGAAAGGAAGTTCCCGATCTCGAGACTGTTATCTGCGGCCGAAACCGATTGGAGAATGGAAGTATGACGGCGTGGGCAAAGGCCTACAAGCTGCACAACAAGATCAAAGTGATCAAGATGGTTCAGAACGGTATTCGACAAGAAGGTATCTCCCACCTTCTCGCCGAAGGTCTCAGTCACGCTTCCAAACTCGAGGTCCTCGACCTGCAGGACAACACCTTCACCGTCACTGGGGCCCGAGCTCTGTCAAAGGTTGTTGCCAACTGGACTTCACTCCAGGAGTTGGGAGTTGGGGACTCCCTACTTGGTGCCAAGGGTGGTGTCCTCGTAGCAGATGCTCTGGCCAAGGGCAAGAATGCTAAACTTGAGACCTTGCGTCTGCAATACAACGAAATCACCTCCAAGGGTATCAAGGCCTTCGCCATTGCCGCCAAGGATGGTCTTCCTGCTCTGAAGCGAATTGAAATCAACGGCAACATTCTCACAGAGGACGACGAGTCGATTCCCGTCCTTCAGGAGCTTCTTGAGGAGCGCAAGGAGAAGTTTGGTGGCGATATTGTCAACGAGGATGAATGGGGTGTTGACGAGCTGGAGGACCTTGAGGAGCCAGACAGTGACGCGGAGGAAGAGGAAGAGGAGGAAGAGGAGATTGTGCCTGAGGACCGAGCCGAGAAGTTGATCAAGGAGGCCGAGGAGGCCCAAGAGGAACCTGTTATTCCTGTCAAGGACAAGGAGGTGGACGAGTTGGCAAAGAAGCTCGAGAAGACTGGAATTTAAACATGGATATAGATGAACTGCATGATGATGGCCATTCACTTCACAAGGCGTGAATGGAATTTGATACCCCTTTACAATAACTTGGACAGCCAGAATAAATACATGGACGTGACTTGTTATTCATAAACCAGCAGTTTTAGGAGTTCGAAAACATGCAGTGTTTATCAAAAAGCTTTTTTATTGATTCTTGTTGGATACATGGTGCTTGAGTGCCTGGTCTAGATATACTGCTAGGAAGTATATATGAAATATCACGGTCAGGGAGCACATTGAGTGAGTTGCAGCCCCTGAAGGCAGGTGTTGAACGGGACAACGTACCTGTGGCGAACAAAGCTGCCACCCTTGCATATACTCTCTCTAGGTAGAACTAATTGTTAGCATACACTACAAGTACTTGACGAGGGCGATATTGGGAGAGGGAGCAAAATGATTTGCAAAAAGAAAAATGAAAGTTCCACCAACGCCGCCCTATCCACTTCCCTTTGGAAGCCAGTCTCTCACGATAAACTCATCCAGCAACCTGATAACCATACTAAGCAACAAAACCTAAACAGTGACCAACAGCCCATGGCTCTACCAACAAATCCCTTTCCTGTACGCACATTGGCGTATAAGTTGTCCACCTTATATGATATCCCATCGCCATCCCGAGCTTCTATGTAGATTAACCGTTGAACGTCTGGTCATACTATTCTGCTGCTCGGCTTGGATAGACGATATTTATTTACATAACATCCATAGTGTCCACCTCCGGTGCTCGGAAACCTTGGTAAGCACCGTACTGAGTTGCCATCTCCAGCAACTGCTGTTCACGAGCGTAGTCCGGGCCCATGTAGACAGGGTCTGTGGCGTGTGAGTAGAGACCGTAGGTGCTCCTCGGCTGGCTGTCGCGGGCCTCTCGTTCACGCTCTCTTCGCATCAACTCCTCGTAGCCAGAAGTCATGTATGGTTCTACCTCAGGCTCTGAGTTACGAACCCACCTACCATCAACTGCTTGAACTTGGGTACCATCCAGACTCATGACTTGTTGCTGCTGGTTCAGTCGTTCGTAACGCAAGCGGGCAAGTTGCTCCTCATGTTCCACAGTGGTGCTGCTCCAGGCGAGAGCTGGGATGTCGCCACCGTTTCCGGGAGGGCAAATGTTCCAAAGTTCAATAAGCCTCTCTTGCTGAGAAGGCTCGGCAACTTTGAACAGCTGAAGTTGTGAAGGTGTCAGAGTAGCTGGATCAACGCCGTGGTGTTGCAATACAGCTTCAACACTGGGCCCTTGCGTCTGGGGTGGCTCTGAAGCACGGCGAGGGACGTCTTGGTGTTGAGCTGCTTGAGCTATGTGTGCAGAGTGGGTGTAGTGAACTGAAGTATAGACTATGGGCTCTTGTTGTGGTGCAGGGGCAGGCTCGGGAATTGGGTTGAAGCTGAGGTTACGGGCCAGGAGAGCAGCAAGCTCATCCTGTTGCATGGTGGACGGAGAAAATGACATGGTCGGTGCTATTGTTCCTGAGAGTTGTTAACAGTTGATGCATAATATTGAGTTCAAGGGTAGTTGCTGAATACCAACTGTGGTGCGGGTTTATGTATCAGCTGGAAGAGCACGAGAAGCTGTTGCTTTATGGTTTGGTATCAGAATAAAGAGGCGACGACGGTAGCTTTTGGGTTCGTCTGCCTATTTCAGTTCGATGCCTTTTGAGGAAGCCTGGTTGAGATAGAAACGGATTCGAAATGAAGCGATATACGGAGTTGTTTCGGGGTCATGCGTAATGCAGATGAAGAAAGGAACAGGAGGATACCCTTGTTCTTTGTTATATTTGGAAGCTAAGCTAAGCTTTTTGACAAGTAGTCAAAGGAAAGCAGATAAGGTCAATAGAGAAAGAATGAGATATATGTATAAACAAAAGGTTGAGTCAAGAAAGAGAGGTTCGTCTCTTGTTCTTTGGCTCAACAGACCCTTGATTAGGCCTTGACTTGGAGGGGCTTGTCTAAGAGCGGTGGACCGTTGGGTCGAGTTGCAGGGACCGCACCGGAAGGGAAGTGAGTTGTGAGTGGGGAGACACGAACGCCTGAGAGAATCTTTTGGGGTTTCTTTATGCAGTTTTCAAGTGATATGATGGTATATTTGAAGCGCAGGGGCGCTCTATGATGCTTATTCTGGTCAAAATAAAGGCGAGCGTTGTTAATGTGAAGAATCAGGAGTGTTCTCAAGAGTGATGGAAGCGCGGGGGATAAAATACATGGAGGGGTAGGCACTTCCATACCTTGAGGTAGGTAGGTATGAAACGTGGGACAGCTCAGTGGGACACACACCTGCCAATTCATTTGCTCAGGCACCCTTCTCAGGCCATGACGCACTAAAGACACAACTAACAGAGGCACATGATGGGCTCTATGACAACATCCACTTCCATGAACCACCAAGCACTAAACTTAACGCTCTTGGTGCATCACTTGTTCTGCTGATCTTCGCTCCCAGGTAATATTGCTCTCAGATGTCTATACTCTGTCGAGGTATCAACACTTCACTCACTGGCCTCATCCACGCATTCACAGGAGGATTTGCACTCCTTCCAACTCCAAGAGCTTCAAACCCTGGTCTTATTGACCTTGTGCCACCCAATAAGCCTGTGCCACAAGGCGACCGTAACACACTAATTACTGTCCTATATGCTCTAGCTTAACGCCGACATGGTCGTCTGTTACAACTGCATTCCGTTTCCGAATCATCTCCTTTGACGTGGTTCACTCAGTTTCGCCACGTTCTCAATCATTCTGGGCCGTGCATATCATTCTGTGAATCAAAATATACCTGGGCAGCATGAGATGGAAATCTCCGGATCTTCCCACCACCCTAATCAGCTCTCTAGGTAGGCTCCAACAAACATGAGACTCACCGCCAGCTACAAAGCATATACCCCTAAGGTTTTATAGTGGTATTTTTTTGGTCCTCAACTGTTGATGCTATGAGCTCTTACCTGTCTTGGTAACAGGCGTGCAAACTTGACGGCGTGCTTAACTTGAGTCTCGATGCTAGCCTGGTCTCACATTCTCCCTTAGTCTTTCAAAGCGTTTGCGGGGGACAGAAACTATATGAGGTATTAAAAGTATCCACGAGTGATATGTATGACTGGTATCAGAGGAATGTCGTGGAAGAAACATCATGCTATAATCAAGCATCATGCTACCAGTATGTCGATTCAGTCCCAAGACCTGGTCTAGGGGAGGAAAGAAAACTCAAGAACTTGATCCTAGATAACAGAAAGACTTAGGTAACTTACCTAAGCTTAGGGGACTCTTTAGTAAGTTTATTCTATTATTTTAGTACCCTCTTCTAAAGTCTTGTGTTTTCTTGCTCCCCGAGGGCCGGTCCACTGCTTGCAATCCGTGGATGTCTGATGTGCAATTTGCCAGTTCTAGACCCCAAATCCATGAAAGGTCTCCTCCTGCAGGGGAGATCGATGCACACGGGAGGAGCTAGAGGGATCCGCCACTCCCGCTTTCACAGCCACGTGTGTGCCAGCTCTCAAGGCTGAGCTGAAATGTGGCGAACGAAGTGTGGCGCTCAGTTGCGGCGCACATCTTTTACACCTCAGGCATCAGTTCTCCAGCCTTGCAGGTAGGTACCATACCTCAACTGCAACACGCAGCTCCAGGCTGCCTGGGTGAAGGAAGCTCCAAGTCAACACCGTCGCAAATATCTCGACAACACAGCTCCCCTCCACGTCACCAATTCTCAGCCCATCTTTTCTTGCCTTTCGGATCACGCTATTTCTCTTGATCAGAACATTCAGACATCATGGTAAGTTAATCCCTACAATCGCTCAAGCCTGATTGTCGTCATTGGAAGACAGCTTCAAGTGCTGACCTAGCTTGTCCTTCACATTGTAGACATCGATAGGCACGGGCTATGATTTGCTCAACTCCATCTTCTCTCCTGATGGACGCAACTTCCAGGTCGAATACGCAGTCAAGGCAGTAGAGAATGGCGGTACCTCGATCGGTATTCGAGCTAAGGATGGTGTTGTCCTAGCTATCGAGAAGGTCGTTTCATCCAAGCTCCTAAAACCCGGTGCCAACAAGCGTATTGCAACCATCGATAGCCATGTCGGAGCTGTATGTAGAACCACTTGCTATGGCTAGGATGAGCTTATACTAATCTCACCAGGTATCTTCTGGTATGGTCCCTGATGGACGTCACTTCGTTGATCGCGCTCGTGACGAGGCCCAGAGCTGGCGACAGAACTTCAAAACCCCCATCCCCACATCCGATCTTGCCAGCCGCATGGGTGGCTACCTTCAGGCCTACACCATGTACGGATCAGTTCGACCATTTGGCATCACCGCTATCGTGGGCGGCTACGATACTCCCGAGGAGACCCCTGTCGATGGAGAGGTTGGCTCAGGACCCAAGGTTGGCGCCGGTGGCAAGGTTGAGGGCAAGCACGGCGGTCCTTTCCTTTACATGATCGAGCCCAGTGGTATGTACTGGGGTTACTACGGAGCGGCTACAGGCAAGGGTCGACAGGCTGCCAAGGCCGAGTTGGAGAAGCTTGACCTACCTGCTGGTAACATTACCCTAGAGGAAGCTGTGAAGCAGGCTGCACGCATCATCTACATTGCGCAGAAGGACAACAAGGATAAGGATTTTGAGTTGGAGATGACCTGGATCAGTGGGCCTGACGGCCCTACCAAGGGACGACATGTTGAGGTGCCAAAGGAGCTACGGGAAGAGGCCGAACGATTAGCAAAGGCCGAGGACGAGGATGATGATGACGACGATGAGGACGAGGATGCAGAGGATGACAAGATGGAGGATTAGGCGAGTTATGCTAAGAAAAATCAAAGCACCTGTACTATCACGATGACGATGACGAGCTCATTGAATTTTATTCATCTGCAGGCATCCGAATCACTCTGAGGGTGACTGGTTTCGATTCATGCCATCTGTCTAAGAGGGAATTATGTCTATTAGGGTATCAGTTCCGAGCTTGCTGCAATGCATTTCGGTACCAGTCTTGCCAGTCATCGAGGAAAGACGACTGCAACTTTGTGTTCTGAGAGTAGCAGCTGGCTTGTGTCTTGGCATAAATAACAACAACATCCTCCATCTTGGTCTTGTCGGCAGTGATAAGGGCTGACACCACGATGAGGCTCGCCGTACTGGCCGCTTTTGCGTAAGCATGCGAGTCATTCTGACCGGCAGCCTTATGAATCTCGCGTAATAAGTCTAGCATGTCATCAGGTTCGAGAATCTGGACCTCTTGGGAGTCATTGGTGGCCTGTCTTTGGCTCTTTCGGAAGTTAGAAATGGCCTTTTTCTGGTACTTTCGATAGTTAGAGATGACCTTGCTCGCACGGTCAGCTAGGGATTTGGTGCTGGTTGCTCGCATACAATCGAGCAGGGGCAAGAGGAGAGAAAATGATAGAGCGTTGCAGCGCTCATTGCGAACGTAGATGTCGAGCAAATCAAGAATTCGGTTCTTGAAATTGAGAACCGATTGCTTGGCCTTCTTCTTTAGCTTCTTGGAGCTGTTCGAGGGGTCTTGAATGCGTGGCTTGATAGTTGCTGCGAGCTGCTCGTCGATGGCGAACATTTCAGAGTCAGACATATTACCCTCAGATTCTGATGACGCGGCATCAACGTCCTTGTCGAGTCGATGGCTGTTGAGGATCTTCTCGAGTTCGTTGTCCAAGTCCTCAGGTCTGTCGAATTCGCCTTTGCTTTTTGGTCCATCTTCGTCTTCGTCCTCGTCCTCGTCTTCTTCTTCTTTCCCACTTTCATCGTTCGCCTCCTTGATATCAATGAACTCGACATCAGAATCAATCTCGATATCCGAGTCATACTCCTCATCAGCATCTGTTCCTTCTTCGTCCTCATCCTCATCGACCTCCATCTCATCGTCCCCATTGCTAAACAGTTCCTTTTCGCCCTTGGTATTCTCGCCAGATGTGAGGGGACCGGTCAAGAGCTCCAAACCTGCAGCAGAGATGTGTGGTGTAAATGCCCCAAATACTTGCTGCGTAACTTGTCTCATGAGAGATGAAGGCTGCACAACCATTGACAACAACATTTCGATGAGAGCCACGGATGTGTCACCATCGTCATTCGCGAACTTGCCCTCCTTCCAATCACCAGAGTGTTGGCTAAGTAACTCGAGGTCTTCCATAGCATCAGGCTCGGCATTATAGACCCGCAAGACAGCTACGGCATGCAACAAGGCGATACTTCCAAAAAGGCCTTTGTTCGTGTCGTCTGACTTGCTGTGCTTGCGCAGCTTCTCCATCCTTGATAGCGCCTGTTGGACAGCCGTTTTAAGCTCTTCGGACAAAACCATCGAGCCGATGTCCAAGGACGATACAACATGACATACAGAATCGCAGTTCTCTATTCTTCCGCTGGCCTTGGCCAACACTGATGCAAGAGAAGTCCGGTACATCTCGCGGACAGTCTCCGTGAGGATATCCGCGGGGATGCCTGTGTTTTGGTAG